TACCCCCGGAAACGAGTTTCTAGCCGAATCTGATACTTCGCCCTGACCTGGAAAACTCACCTACCATCGATGACTGGTCTCGGAATGGAATTTTTCCAAGTAATCAGGAAAATGATGCAGACGGCACGAATAAATAAGCCAGGTATTGTTCTTTGAGCCTGTGAGTCGCGCTACAGGTGCCAACGCTTCGGCGCCAGCGCGCCTGGAAGAAGAAAAACAGTAAAGAAAAACCTCCATAACTCCGCTCAGAGAATCGTTCCGCAAATTTTGAAGATAGTTTCGAGTTCACCGTGTCAAGATGAGTACAATGATGTGCATCTCATTGCATATGGCCGGGCTGACCTGTTGACCTTTCCTGGTCAGCTCAATGGCTATTTGTGCCATTGCCTTCGAGCACTCACACGTTCAACGTGATGAGCCGGTTAGCCGATATCGGCAATGAGCTGAGAGGTCAAAAGTGGCCCCGGTAGCGTAATAGGGAACGCAACTGCCCGGTAAGCAGAAGATGCGGGTTCGAATCCCGTCCGACTTTTGCCCACAACTCAGCATTCTTGTGATAGCTTTCGGATCGCGCACTGCGGCGTTAAACAGCAGTTATCAAACAATAACAGCTTGAAACTCACAAAGGTGAGTTTCGTATGTACACTGATGAGTAGCAGCCCGAGTACTGTCATTAGGAGTTACGTGGGCTTCGGACAGCAACTATGGCAATAGAGTACAGCTTTCAAGACTGTAAAGCAGACTGAAACAATATAAGTCGAACATGATAAAGTCGAAACATGAATAAGCAGCGAGAACCAACACAGCATGTGAATCATCTGCCACCCGTATGTGGCTCTGTACAGAGCAGCCGAGTAAATATTTTACGATGGACCCTTTCAATTTTGAGTATGTTATTTCTTGAAAGTGCGACTCCAAAGTTGTGAGCAGTATTCTAGATGCGGTAAGACATAGCCGGCAGAAGAATGCAAGTATGCTCCTCATACGTGTAAACAGTGCAGAAATACGCCTTCTTTCACGGCTCGGTCATCTGGGTGGAAAACTTCCAACTAGAATTGAAATCAACTCTATGATCTTTAGTGGAACTACATGTTGGTTGTTTTTCGCCTTTCACCGCATACTCGGGAGCTGCATTCTCTCCAAAATGCATAACCAAACATTTGTTTAGGTTCAGGGGTATGTCCCACAAAGTTGCCCACTCACACATTCTTTCGACTGACGTTTTGAGCGCATCTTGCAAAGCGACATTGTTCCCATTTTCATATGCACAGTATACTTTGATGTCATCTGCATAAACTTGTACATGAATGTCGGAATGTGTCTTAAGAAGCCGGGGCAGCTCAATAGTGTAAATCAGGAACAGCAAGGGGGATAAAACCCCTCCTTGCGGGACGCCACTAGTGCAGGGAAATTTTTCAGAGAAACTAGTCCTGACTCGAACAGTCATGTTCCTGTGCTGTAAAAGAGACCTTATCCAGTCAAGTATCTTGCCACGGATACCGTAACACTCCAGTTTGCTCAGGAGTTTTTGATGACAAACTCTATCAAAGGCCTTAGCCAGGTCGAGATGAATTATATCCACTGACTTCCCCTGGTTAACAGCTCTGCAAACGTCATACAAAGTGTCAGTGAGATTAGTGCAGGTTGTAGTTCGGTAGAATACGGCTCCGCGAGAATGAGGTTCATAACTTAGTCTGTTCCCGGATACCATGCATTCCTGCGCATTGAACTTATCATACGGCTCCTGCCATAATGCCAGCTACACAACGTTCACAGCACCTTCCTAGGTTTAGACGACGTTATAACTTTATCTCCCGAGGGGGCCACCATACCAACCCATTGTAGAAGTTGCCTCAGAGAAGGTTAGTTTATGGTATCTAACAAGAACAGCGCATCCCGCGAAGGTGTGGGTACGCAGCCGAGCAAAAGACGAAAAACCGGTGAGCTATGAAAATTCTGTGGTTGGCTGTTCGTATCATTCGGGTAGATACTAGCGCTCTTTCGAATCTTAAGCGCCTCTGCATGAATATTCAATGTGTCTTACAGTAAACCATTTATTCCTGTTTTTAATGCACCCAATTATATTAATGCAAGATCAAGGCACATAAGTACAGTAAGCGGATTAGCAGGCATTGAAGTTAAGGGAATATGAATTGTCTTGGACACAATTAGAAAATGGCTTCCATTGTGGATATTCTTTTACATGAATACTTTTATAATACTGGTATGAATCACAAGAGCACCAGAACAACAAGGCAATCATATCCAAGCCCCCCAACATCCCCACCACCCACCCCCGACGCCCCCGAACCACCATGGGGACATATAAATATCAAGGGTTCAAAACTGCACGAAGACATTTCGGCAGTAACAAAGTCTAAACTTTTCTCGGGAAGGGGTTAACTCTTTATCCAGTTGAACTATAAATCATAAACTAAGATATGTGAAGGAGTAAATACCTTAATAGACTTATACGATGAATCAAGGAGTTAAGATAAGCGAACGAGATGCCAGCATGTGATGTTGCATTGTGAATGGTTTCCTATTACGTGCTAGCGATGTTGTATTATTATTTAGTCTTGTCCGCTTCTCTTTTGATCCCTTTTATGATTGTTGCATAGAAGGCAAATGCTTCAGATCGTGGTAAAGATGCTTGTGTCTGAAAAAAAGAAGTCTTCGGAGGACTGTCACGAACTCCTAATTTAGCCTTTCTAGCTGGGGTTACAGGCAAGTGGCACGATAAATCTTCATGACATGTAGGATGAATACGAATAGCAGAATAAGATTTGGCGTTTCCTAAGCAGGCGCTGCGTGGTGCCTTTATCACGGAAGGTATTCTTGTAAGGCCCTATCAAGCTGCAACATACCGACCCGGACGCCCACCGCGCCCGTTCCTCCCCCAAATGTCCGACCGGTGCTGATGCTCGTATCGCTTCATTTGCGAAGTGCAATATGAAGCGAAGGGATTGATATGAAGCGGCTGCGATGCTCCATGATATATGAGTACGTCCATGCTACCGTAGCGGTTATAGGCCAATGGAAAACTTGTTCAAAATCGCTTCCTTAGTCGTGTAGGAAGAAAGGGTTCTTCGCAGGCTTCAACTGTTCACATAGCTTCTTCGCTTTCCTCACTACGTAGCATCGCTGCTATCATTTTGGACCGCGTACCAGATTATCATGCCTTATGCCCTCGAAAGTCAACGGCCATCGAACATTCATGTTAATTTATACAGTCGTAAATCGGGCGGAGGTGGGGCAATGACAACTAGGGCTGCTGAACACCCTCGCCTCGCGCAAGTGTGAAATCCCTGGCTCAACTTTCAGGCAGGATAACAAGGATTTGAACTCCCGGTACCAGACCCGGGAGCGTACTGTACGGGAAGACAAAACACTGACGTGCACGTCGTCTGACCTCCCCATATGCCAAAGGATGAAGGTCTTCGAATGGAACGAAGAGGAATGCGTAGCGCATCTATTATAGCGATTGCCTGATTGGCGTCGAAAGCTTCATACTTCGTACACTAGAGCGTGATTGCTGAGTTGAGCTTGTTTAGAAGTCTTGCACCTTTAGGCGAAAATGGTACTGTGAATAGACTACGCTGTATTTTTACACGGCGTTTAGGACTGAGTGTTGCAAAACGCAGACCGAGCTGCCCTTTCTTCATCGTTCTGTTCCGAATGAAGCACTGCACCCTTTCAAGGGAGAGCTGTTTTGGTTCGGAACTAGACTGTGGTTCACTAGCTATTGCTTACAGTTTGAGATAGGTATTGCCTAATGTGGGGGACAAGTCCGCCGGTACCAGAACCCCTACGTCGATGATCAGCGAACAGGAGCGATCCGTGATTCTTCGGTACCGAAGGTCAGTAGGATTAGACCCATCATGCAGGTTATCGCTGACCGATCTCTGGCTACCACGTCACCGAAAAAAAGTCCAAGGACATTCAACGAACACGAATGACGAATGCCGAACTAAGCTGCTCTGCACTGTCGAACGAACACGAAGAAAATAGCTCCTGACGCGGTGCAGGGGCCAATGACGTCATAGGACACCAGCCGGAGAGTATGTCCTTAGTGACAAAGATGTAAATGGGAAACCAGTTCTTGTTTGCACTCTTTTAATCGGTCTTTTACCCCATTCTTGGTTTTGGCTTTCCAGGAGGCTCGAAGAGCAGAGACTAACCTTACCCTTCACATAGCCGCGAGAATGATCTCAAGTCAACCATGGTTTCCAGGCATCAGCTGGTTCTTGAAGCTGAGCACATCTTCACGATGAGGAAAGCTCTTGACCATCTAGCACTCATCCATGACCCTCCTCCTCCCCCATCCAATTTCTGTCGACTGTGGGCGAGGTGTGATGGTAGATAGACAGGAGAAACTGGGAGGAAAGAAGGAAGTTTCCAAAATTCACACATGTAGTGCGTGTGAGGTCACATGGCCGTGAAGGGGCACATCACTA